CTCTACGCCCAGTGGGGAGCCCAACATGAGACTCAGCCTCATGACACTGAGATCATGACCTGGGCTGAAATCAAGAGACGGATACTTAACCGACTGAGCCACCCAGGTGCCCTAAGATTTTTTTTTTTTAAATAATCTCTAGGGGCGCCTGGGTGGCTCAGTTGGTTAAGCATCTGCCTTCAACTCAGGTCATGATCCCAGGGGCCTGGGATCGAGCCCCACATCGGGCTTCCCTGCTCAGCAGGGAGTCTGCTTCTCCCTCTCCCTCTGCCCCTCCGTTCACTCATGCTCCCACCCCGCCATCTCTCTCTCAAATAAATAAATAAAATCTTTAAAAAAAAATAATCGCTGCACCCAATGTGGGGCTCAAACCCACAATCATGAAATCAAGAGTCGCAGGCTCCACCACCTGAGCCTGCCAGACACCTGAACGGCACAACAGGCTTTTGGTAGAAGCCACACGTATACTTAATATTTTTCTAGTAGCCACATTTTCAAAATTGTAAAAAAAAAAAAATGGAGAAATTAATTTTTTAAAAGACTGTCTTCAACCCAACTTATATGATTTCCATGTGTAATCAATATAAAAATTATTGAGATCTTTACATTCTGTCTTTGATACTGTACCTTGGAAATCTGGTGTGTCTGATACATTTTGTATGCCTCAAATTTGGACACTCAGTTTTCATCAACGATCCTTGATCTGCATTTAGACTCCATAAGATGGACAGTTGAAAAAGCAGATTTGCACATCCAGGATGTTCCAAATATACTTCGAAGGTTTGCAATCATTGAATTGACTATCTGAGGTTGCGTTTGGTTTTGTTTGATCTTCCTTTTTATTTAAAGACTTTAAGTCATCTCTGCACCCAACATGGGGCTCAAACTCAACCCCGACATCAAGAGACGCACCTCGGCCGACTGAGCCACCAAGTGCCCTACTTTCTATTTTGAAGTTGTTTTGATTCAGAGAAGAGAGTATCAGTTTTTAAATTTAAATTAGCATAAAAAACGCTGTTTCTCACACACAACGGCCACATTGCAAGGGCGCTCCATGGCCTTACAGGGCCAGTGGCCACCAAATCTGATGGTGCAGAGACAGAGCCTTTCCCTGACGGCAGAAAGCCCCGTGGGACGGTGCCTGCTGTGTGTGGAGCTCCACCTGCAAAGCGGCAGAGGAGCTCGGGGTTAGGTCAGGAAGGGAGACTTTAGGTTCTGGATCATAATGGCTCTAGCCAGGGTTCAAGCCTCAACTCCAGGGCACTGGGGAAGTCTGGGAAGGGCTGGGAGGGGCAGGGTCAAGGTGGGAGCTGAGAGCCTTGGGACCTACCGCAGCCCCCTGGGGAACCCTCCCCAGATACAGAGGCTGTGCCGCCTGACGGCTGGGGAGCCTGGGCTCTGGGGTTGGGATTCTGGCTCGGCCTTGTCTCCCGCCGAGTCACGTGGCCCCAGCGTGCTCACCTATAAACTGCCAAAAAACAACAGTGCTGACCCCAGGGCTAACGAATGTCACTTTGGAAACCCAGGTGTGGCCGCAGGCGTGGGCTGTCGTGTTTCTCCTCAGTGATGCTCTCTCCACTGTCCCCCCCCACACACACACTCTCTCCACAAGTTTTACCTAGCTTTCGAGAACTCTCTGCGTCTTGACTACATCACGGAGAAGCTGTCCATGGAGATCCTCCTGGAGGAGGCCTCCTGGAGGCCTGTGCCATACCGTGGTGCTGGGTCCGAGCAGGAGGAACCACGAGAAATTCCTGCCTCCTGATGCCTTCATCCACATCAGTGACTTCCAGAGCCCCAAGGAACTGGCCCAGTACCTGCTGCCGCTGGACAAGGACCACGCCCTCTACCTCGGCTACTTCCGCTCGCGGGAGACCCTGCGGCCTCCATCCTCAGCGGGGCCCTGATGTTGTGCAAGCCTGCTGGCGGCTGCAGCAGGACTCCCCCTACCCGACGGTGCCCAGCGCAGCCTCCTGGTTCACGTGAGCTGGCCAGCCTGGGGTGTGGGCTGCTCCAGACACACCTGCTGGGGACCTCACTGCCAGGGTGGTGGCTCACTGATTGCTGGGGAGCTCACTGAGCTGGGGCTTCACCTACTGAGCACCTGTGTGGCCAGGAGATCAGCTCTAAGGGATCCTACCTCCCAGGAGCCTCCCCTCTGGGGGTCTCACCTGCTGGGGACCTCGGTTGTTGGGGACCTCGCCTGCCTGGGGACTCACCGGCCAGAGGAGGGGCATCCCCACCTGCTGGGAATCTCACGTGCTGGGATCTCATTAACCTGGGACGTCACCCACCCGCACTATGCTGCCGGGACATCGGCTCTAGGGACCTTACCTGCCAGGGGCCTCACCTCCTGAAGGGCCTCACCTTCTGGGAACCTCGGCGGTTGGGGACGTCACCTGCTGGGGATCTGAAACAGGTCATCTAGCCTCACGGGGACTCACTTGCTAGGAGTCTCACTGAACTGGGGTGTCACCTGCTGCACCCCGCACCCACTAAAACTCCCCTTGCGGTCCCGCTCACTGGTGAGGGGTCTGCTAGATTTGCTTGTGGTTATCATTGCTGTTGCTCACTGCCCGCAGGGCACGCGGAGGGACGATCCTGGCACCATTCTCCGGATGGGAATACTCTGAGGAAAACCGATGTCTTCTCCCTTATTTTAGAACAGCGTTTTGCACCCAGGGCGACTCTGCCTGCCCGGGCACACTCGGCAAAGGCTTGGGAGGCTCGTGGTTCGCGCAGCTGGAGATGGGCTGAGAGCATCCAGTGGGTGGGGGCCAGAGATGCTGTTCAACAGCCCACAGGCCCAGGTACACCCCCAAAACCAAGAATGGCCTGGGAGCCAATGTCAAGAGGTGGAAAAACCCTGGAGGCCAAGCCCCACAGTGGGTGGGGGTGGGGACCAGGCTGTCTGGGGGTCCGTGGCGGGGCAGGGCTGGGACAAGCGTAGAGGGAGGGCAGGGACTGCCCACGAAGGAAGGGGAGGAGGGCAGAGTGGGGTGCTGAGCACATGTAGCGCTAAGAGTGTGTGTGACAAATGCTGACCACGGGGGCTTGGAGCGAGACCCCTGGTGAGAGATCCCACTGGGTGTGGCCAAACACCATGTGGTGTTGCACATGAGAGGGGACATTGAGGGTGTCCCTCCTAGTGTGCAATTTCGACCATGGATGATGACTGAGTGTGTAAGCATAGCGGCCATGTGTCCACGTATGATCGGATCTGCTAAGCCCATGTAGGTGTCACTCTGTGTGTGTGTGTGTGTTTGTGCTGTGGCTTGGCCTGCACACAACCCCAGGCCCGGGGGTGCGTGGGGGCAGCTGAGCTTCTGCCCCAATGCTCTGGTCGGCTGGGCTAGCACACTGTGGTTGGGATGTTGGAACTGAGCTAGAGACAAGGAGGCCCAGGTCCCAGGAGACCCTGAGAGGGTGCACAACACAAACAACTCACACACACACACACACACACACACACACAGACGCGCGCACACACACAGGTAGTCAGGCTTCAGGACCACGCACCTGAGCTCCAAGATCAATTTTCCCAGTTGTGGGTTGAACAACTGCCTCCATGGCTCAGGGCCATCTGGAATGGGGAAACTGAGGCTTGGCTTCTGCCCCAAGAAGATGGGGACAAAGGCTTTCCTGCCACAGCTGGGCTGACTCAGCCCAAACAGAGGAGGAATCCCCTACCCCAAACCTCAGAAGACTGGGGGGAGTGGGGACCCCAGACAGCCTCAGCCCTGAAACTTCCTAACAAGCAGACCACCTGTGGGCCGGAGCCTGGCTGCCCAGCCCTGCTCACAGGACTCCCGGGAAGTCCTGCCTGTTAGCTGCCTCAAGTGTCTCCAGCTGCAGCCGGGGACCAGGGACCAGGGACCAGGGGATGTTTCTGCTGGGCTGCATGATCCTACCTGGGGCAGCTGCTGATCTGGGCCCTCCAGGGTCGGGATGGGGACTGGGGCTGGGAGGGACATGGTGTCGAGACAGTGGCCCTGAGCTCAGATGTGTGGGAAAGAAGGGAGAGGGCCAGTCTAGGGGAACAGTGAAGGAGGGAAGGGGCTCTTTCCGTGGGAGCCTCCGTGGAGTTGGGGGTGAGAGAAGAAGAGAGGGGACCACGCCCTCAGGAAAGCTGTCTCGGGTGAGAGGGGCATGCACCCTCGAGAACCCCACTCTGAGGTGCAGGAGGGGAGGGTCCATACCCACCCGTCTCCAGGGTGTGAGCCTGGGGGCAGGGCAGTGGCCCCCTGCCCTGCCCCTCCTCAGACCCTGGGATGTGCGGACCCCTCCCCAGGGTCTGAGAGCCCAACCCCCTGTGCTGTATGGGGCCTGCCAAGCATCAAGGTGACACCGCTTTTTCTGTCCTCCGCGGGGACACGTCGTAAATCCCCCCAGGAGCTCGGGCCAGGGCTTTTATGGGCCCGGGACCTACGTCCCTGAGGACCCGGCTCTGCCCCAAGCAGGCGCCGCTTTCGGGCTGGACAGGGCTGGCGCCCGCCCCAGACCTATCCCCACAGGGAGATGGGCAGCGCACATATATTTTTAGCTAGTGAAAGGAGATAGTGGCTCGGTGGGGGTGGACGGGGCCTGAGGAGGCCCTTTCGGGGAGGGAGGCCTGGGTCCACTTGGACCTCAGACTCGTCATCCGCATTTGGCTCCATCTTCCCATCCAGAAGCTCACCTTATGGGGTGGTAACCGTGGGAAACATCAAGAAGGGGTACAGGGACCCGCAAGAAAGCGGGAAGGACGGCCCCTGCCGACATTCCTCCCACTCACACCGCTTTCCTTCCAGTACCACGGGAAAAGGACCCTCTCTGCGCCCCCCAGGTGGTACCTGCCCCGACCCCCTCTGCCCAGTGGAGCTGGCTCCCCCACCCCACACAGGCTCGTGTCCCTGCGAGAGGTGGGCACCCCCGGAACGCGGAATCACGACCCAGGATCCATTTTCCACACTTTATCTCGGTGCAGCTACTGGAGAGTCCCGAGGCCTGGACGGCACCTCCTGCGCACGCGCAGTCTGCCCGCCGCGGACCTCGCCAGGCCGGACGGTGGGCGCCGCGGCGCGGGGGGCGTGGCCGCCGTCTCGCCGGGCCCGGTGAGGTAGGGTCAGACGCAGGCACACTCGCGCGCCGACAGCTCGTGGACCGTGTGGTAGCGGCTGTGCGCGTCCAGGAAGGACACCTCGTCCTCGTAGGCCGTCGGGCGGCAGCAGGGCTGCGCGCGCACCCGCTGCCGCCGAACGCACTGCCCTTGGCGAAGCCGCCGCAGCCCCAGGTCGTAGACGCGCGCAGCCGCCCCCCAGGCGCCTGCGCAGTAGCGGAACAGCGCCCTCGTCGGACGCGTAGCCCAAGCCCAGCTCGCTCACGCGCACTTCCAGCTCGCGCAGCCCGCACGGCCGCGTCCCTGATCGTGCGCGCGCGCGCCTCCGCCGGGGCCCCGCCCGACGGCGCGGACGCGGAGGCCTGCCGGCCCAGGGCGTCAGCTGGCGCAGCTCCACCGCGTCCGGGGCGCCCTGCAGCAGTGCACGATCTGCGAGGAGAGAGAGAATGAGAGAGAGAGAGAGAGAGAAAGAGAACCGGGTGGGTCGGTGGGTGGCTGGGGGGAGAGCCCCCGACCCCCGCTGTTCCGCTCGCTCGGAAAACAGCCCCTTGCTAGCGCACCCTCCCGAGACAGCTTCTCAACTCCCTGCTCCATTCCCAAGCATGTTCCCTCTCTGGGCTCCGAGGGGCATGCCTGTGCAGAGCCCCCGCGCTGGAGCCCCACGACGCCCAACAGCCCTCTCTGGACCCTACCGCTGTGGTGGACGCTCAGAACCTGACTCCTCTTTTCCGGTGCCCCGGAGCGCTTTCCAGCCTGCCCCCGGGCTGAGCTGAGCTCGCCCCCGTGTCTCACTTCCTATGGTCGTCCCCACGCCCACATTCTCCGTGGACCCTGACCCTTTGTTCTGCTTTTGCTGAGCTGCTCCCACCTCTTTGCAGAAAAGGAAGGGAGGGCTCAGCTGGGGCTGTAGTGATCCAAATCCCTGTCCCCGTGGGCCCCCAGCTGGCCCCACCCCTATGCTGGGATGCCCCGGGTAACTGGCACCCCCTTTGTGACCAGTGTTGGAGAGCTGCATCCCATGCTTTCAAGCACTCCCTTGTCGGTTGAGCTGATAATGAGTCTCCGGCTCACTCTTTGGGGGCCCCACCCGATGCCCCCCACCGTGTCCCTCCTGCTCCCCCGCACGCTGGGACTGATGTTCTTCATGCACAGTTTACCAAATCGGGGCGTTTGGGCTGTTCAGAACGCGCAGAGGATAACACCAGCAGGCACAGAGGCCTGCACGTGAGGACCGTGGGGGGAGGCAGCAGGGAACGTCACGGCCTCCCCCGTGTTACAGGTGAGACAACGGGCATCCATTAGGGCAGAGACTGGCCCAAGGCCACAACACTAGCAGGTGGCAGAGAGAGACACAAGCCCGAACAGCCTTGTTCCCGCCTCCATCGTGTGCCCAACTTTGGCCCACGTCCAGTCCTCTGCTCCCACGGTTGCCAGGAGGTGCCCGGAGTCAGATTCCCAGGGCCCCGGAGCCTAAATTTATTTCCCAGGCGGCTGGGCTGCCCCAGTACTCTGCAGCCTCGGGAGAGCCTCGTACACATGCCAGTGGCAGGTGGCGCTGAGAGTGGAACTGCAGGCAGGGGCTCCCAGTCTCTGAGCAAGTGGCAGGCGTGCTTGTGGTTGGGAGAGGAGACCCTGAGTTTATCGCCTGCATGCCCCCAAGGCTGGCACCCCTGGCTCTCAAAAGAAATAGCTTACAGGGAGACGCCAGGGTGAGGGTGTGTCCGTTTCCACAGGGGGGTCTCAGGCATCAGACAAACCCCAGTTGTGAGCCTTGCTCTGCCACTTTCAGCCCTGTATCACTTCAGGCAGGTGATGGTCCTGCTCTGTGCCTCAGTTTCTCTGTCTGCTCAAGGAGCCTTGCAGAGAGTTCCCCTCTGGCTGAGGCTGGGACAGTGGAAAGTGGGCATCAACTGAGCATCATGTTTCCAGTTCTTGAAGTCCAGGGGCAGGACTTGGTGGCCAGCACCGTCTGCTCTGGGGTTAGGTTCCAGCCTACCTCACTTATGGTGCCCAAAATTCCATGTCGTGTGCCCGCCCCTAAGGTATACATCTACACAGATATTCGGGGGGGCGGGGCGGGGGAGGATGCCAGATAAAGTACAGATGCCCAGTTAAATTTGAATTTCAGATAAACAGTGAATAATCTCTTGGTATATGTGTCCCTGCTTCCCTCCAGCAGGCCTGGCCACCTGCACAGGGTCTGGAACACAGAGATGAGATCAGCAGTAGCCCCCCCCACCCCGATCCGCACCCCGGTCCCCACCCCCGCGCTCCCACCGTCCCAAGCCTGAAATTCCACCATCAGCGCATTGGTCTCAGGGCCTAACACTAGGACACTGGGGGGATCAGCGGCCACTCCCTTCCCTTCGTAGGGACTATGCCCAGGGACAGGATGCAGGGTGGGCAGGCACCCGCCCAGGGGCCGAGACCCCTCCTGGTGACCGAGATCCCACCGTCGGTGTTGTGCCCCAGGTTCTAAGCACTAGGTTCCCCCCCACCCCGCCCCGGATTTCTGGAACCCAGTGTCTTGGGAAGGACTTTGCCGCCTTCAGGAGGAAGCGGCGGGCGGAAGTGGAGCCCGTGCCTGAGGCCACCCTTGTCCATTGTAAGGACAAGAAAGGAGGATTGTGTGGGCCGGCGGGACGGGCGCGGACTTGCACACGGGCTGCACGCAGCGCAACCCCGCGGGCGCCATGCACGCGCCGCGCCCGCGCCCCCACCTCGGTGGGCGGCGCGGCGCCCGCGTGGACACGTGCGCGCGCACAGGAGGTCGGGACCCGCGCCCTACCCCGGGCGGGCAGGCGGGGCAGCGGCCGGCGCCAGGGAGGAGTGGGGACTTGGGCCGCGAATTTCCACATCTCCACCGCAGGGCCTTTTCCCGCGTCCATCTCTCCCAACCTTGTGTCTGTCTGTCTCTGTGCGTCTCTGTCTCTGTTTCTCTCCCCATTTCTACGTCTCTCGGGGTCTCCCCTTCCCCTCGGCCCCTGTCCACGGGGCAGGTCAGTGGGGACTCGGATCCAGCCTCCCTGTCCCGCATCACGCGCTGCGCATGGGAGCCCCCCAGGGGGGGATGCCCAGATCTAATCTCCATCTGGATCCCTGGCCCCTTGTGACAGCTGAGCCCAGAGACCCCCAGCTCCCAGCGATCCCCCTCCCCGCCACGACCGCTTGCCACCCCTGCCAGGTCACTGGGGGATTTGCACCCTCTCCTCACCCCATCCAAATTAAGCCTCTGTGGCCCCTGCATGGAATTCCACCGTGTGGCCGCCCCTGTATCGGGGCAGCTGACCCACGTCGGGGCCCGGCTTACACTGGGCCAGGCGGACGATCCGGGCGTCCAGGGTGCGAGGCGGCCGGCGCAGTGGGGTCAGCGAGGGTCCCAGGTGGTGACTGAGGAGCAGGCCGTCCCGACACATCCAGATGGAGAGCACCGAACTGCAGAGCACCGAGGCCAAGGCTGCCGCCTTCCAGCGCTGCATCCTCGGCCTGCGGGCACGCGATGGTCAGCCCCACGACCTCCGTCTGTCTGTCTGTCAGGCAACAAACGGGAACAGGGCGCTGGGCCAGGCACCGGGGACACGGTGCGGCCCCTGATTTCAAGCCACTTCTGCTTAATGATCAGTAATAACGTAGACATGATTCATCAAGGAACCCTTGAACAAGGTTGTGAAAAAATGCTGCCCAAGAAAGGGGTGGGCACTGTGCCAGGAGTAGCAGGGGACCCACCCCCATCTGGGGGTCCCAGAGTGCTTTTCTGAGGATTGACGAAAGTTGAGCCTTGACCAAAGGTAGGAGTCGGCCAGGCACAAGAGAATGGCATCTCAAGCAGGGGGAACAGCCAGTGCAAAGGTCCTGAGGCTGGATTAAGGTTGGCCAACGCAGCTAGGAGGCTGGAGGGGCCGGAGCCCAGTGAGCTTGGGCGGGGGGGGGGGGGGGGCGGAGGAGAGCCTGGAACTAGGTGAGGGCGCTCCCAGCAGGGGGCACTGTGGGACTGGGGCGTGGAGAAGAGAATTTGCTCTAATGTGTTCCTAACATATTGGGGCCCTTGGGAGTGACGTCCTGCCCCTCTCTGAGCCTGGGTTTCCAGAAGGAGATTAAACTGATGCCTAGAAGCGGGCATCGATGGACCAAAGTGGCACTCGACCCACCACCCCCAGGCCTCTGCACAGGCGGGTCCTCCCACCCAGCACATTCTCTTCTCCTCCTCCCCCTCTCAGTCTCAGCTCGGAGGGCGTCTCCCCCAGGAAGCCTTCTCTGGCTGCTCCTCCCCGCGCCCTCCCCCCCTCCCCAGTCCCGGGTGGGCGCAGGTGTGCACCCTCTGGGCCACCACAGTGGCCTGAGCTTCTCCCGATGAGGCACTGGTGAGTCAGTGCTGGGACCGCCTAGCCCGGCGGGCGCACTGGGTGCACACAGTAGGTGTTTCGTAACGCATGCGCACTCCCGCCCACCCACCCGGTCAGAGCCCCTCCCGCCGCCGGGCGCCCCCGCCCGGGTTTACATTCCCGGGCCTGGCAGCCCAGTGGCGGCCCGCGCGAGGCCTGGCGGCCTGCCCGGTGTAAACATTCACACGGAGCATTGACAGCCGCGCTGGATGCCGGTCAGCGCCTGGGCTCGGCCGTGGGGTGCCGGGCGCCCCCACGCGCGCCCCTCGGGCGGCTCAGGCTGCTGGCCACTGTGCCGAGCCGGCATTTGCGTGCGATTTGCATTGCAGTTTTGCATGGACCCCGCACTGGCAGGTTTGGCGCAGTGGGTCTGGAACCGCCTCTCCCCCCAGCCACCCCCCTCCCCGTTGGAAGCGCTGGCGCAGGACCTACAGCCGCCAGACAGTAGCCGGGGACATTTATTAAGCGCCTGCTGTGTACCAGACCGGGTGCCGAACCCACGAAGGAGGCAGCATGATCTCCGTCTTACAGCTGGGGAAAATGAGGCACAAAGCAGGTAGGGCCTTATCCAAGGTCACAGCTAGACAAGCATCTGGGATTCGAACCCGGTTGCAGGGGCTGCGCTGTGCTTGGCAGCCTTGGAGTCCCTCTGAGGACTTGCCCGGCTTGGGGGTGTTTGGATAGGGCCGTTTTGGGGACTGCTGGTGGCGCTGGCAGAGAATGAGCTCCCCCACACGGGAGCGTGAGAGAAAGCCGGGCCAGCCTGCAGATCGGAGGGCACTTGACCGCGCCTGGCGTGCTGCAGGAACACTGGTGGCCCATGCGGCTGGAACAGAGTGAGCGAGGCGGAGGGAGGGGGAGGGGAGGCCGGAGAGGGGCCCGGGGCAGGTCACGCAGGGCCTTGGGGCCGCGGGGAGAACATCTCATTGTCAAGCTTGTGCAGCAAGGGGAGGACAGCCCCCGAAGTTGTCAGGTGTCCAAACCCGCCCCTTGGCTCTAAAGGAGCACCTACTTTATGCTTTGGGGGCACAGAGCCCTCCCTGCACGCCCAGCACCCTGTCTGCTCTCACACCCACGTCCTGCCGGGGTGTGCCTCGGTTTCCCTGTTCGGCTGGAACGAGGCCCCTGCACCGCGCCAGGCTCTGGTCCTGGGTTTCTGCTGAGGGCTTCGCATGGGGGCGGGGGGCTGAGAGGCCGGATGGGCCCGGAGAGCGGCCTGGCCACGGGAGCCCCTGGTGTCCTTGGAGCCGCAGACCCCCCGGAGCTCTGATGGGGGGCAGGAAAGCAGAGGGCCAAGGGTGGAGGGGGCCCAGTAGGTGCGGCTGATAAGCGTCTGTTAACAATGGGCCTTTCAGTAAGGGGGTCACCCAACTGGTTTGTCTGTGGCACGGACCTGACCCAGAGGGGTGCTGCGGGGTGTGGCGCATGGCGCGGGGAGGGGGCCCGGTGTGCACCATGCGCGTCTCTGGGTCCTGGAGGCCCCTGGTCCTGGGGAGGAGGACTCACAGCACACGTGGGGGCGCACGGTCACTCGCACTCGGCCTCCTTGTCCTCGGTCACACACTCGGGCGCTCTCGCTCCCCTGCACACCCAGACAGTCCTGCACCCACACCCCGGGACACGCTGTCGCTTGCACGCTCCAACACTGTCCCACTTACACTCCCTGTTTTCATACTCACCAACTCCAACTCGACGGGGCTCGCACACTCAGGGGTTTTCCCACGCACGTGGGCATTTTCACACATGTTGGAAACACCTGCACGGGTGGGTGTTCTCGCACGTCCATCCATATAGGAGCACACTTACGCACGAGGTCATTGGCACACACGGACGCCCGACATTATCACACTCCCAGCAGTTTTCACAATTCACACCCTCAAGCATGATTACACTGAAAGACATAAATACAATCACTATCTTGAGTGTGTTCACACTCATAACTTCCAACCTAATTACGCTCACGTATATGAACACAATCACAACTCAACTGTTCTCACAACACACACCTGATCACTGCCACACTCATCCTAGTGTCGTGCACTCGCAGGCTTGAACCTTCACACTTAGGCGTGTTTACCCTCACACTCACACATTTGACAGCCTTGTTCACCTGCTAGTGCAATGCATGCTCACACATGCTCACACTTGGGCTCACACATGCACCACTCATAGGTTATCATATTTGAACACTCCCCTGTCACACACTAGCATGTTTTCACACTTGTGCACTCTCACATAGCATAGACCGCCTGCCCTCCCGCTTTGGAGCTCTCACGCTCCCAGCCACCCAGGTGTTCTTAGCCTCTTGCACACTTGGGAGCTCCCACACAAGTGTTTTCACACTCTCACGGAAAACACGCATTGGCTCTGGCATGCTGGCCCAGAGAACAGGCGTGGCCATGCAGGTATGCCGCTCCCAAGCCCTCCCCTGAGCACTTGGACCTGTGCACACTCAGGGACCCACACCTGCAGGCTCCGCGTGTCCTGCTTCGTTCATGCGCTTGGCCTGGGGCCGAGCCGGGCCCGCCACCTGCATGCCTTTGTCATTCTCACATCCTGGCCACACAGTCACACACACGGGGACACACTGGTGCATGGCCCAGTCCCCTTCTGCCTGCATCTCCAGGGTTTCCCGCACTGCCCAGACAGGGCCTTGGCCAGTGGTCTCCTCTCAACTCTCAGAAAATGTCCAGAACCTGGAGAATCCTCACTGCCCAGGAAAGGGAGCCCCCTTCTTTCTTGGGGGCCATGACAGTCTGAACTGCAGGAAGTGGGATCAAGGAGGACCTCACTTCTAGCTGGAGGCTACGGAGTGCCCAGAGCTAGGACGAAGCCCAGAGAGGGGTGATGAGTAACCCAGAGTCACACAGCCAGGCGAGCCCTTCCAATCTTCCAAGGAACACACAGGGTGAGGGTGTGTGCATGTGGGTTTTTCTGGAAGCTTCCTTGGTAGTGCCAAGAAACTCTGTTCATTATCCCGGTGCCCAGGCAACGCCCTGAGGCTCCACCTTTCCATGGAGCCTCCCAGGAGACACAGGCCAGGCATACCTGTTCTCGAGGCCCACAGCCTCCTTGCCATAGAGCTCCTGGCCTCAGGGAGGCACCGGTTTTGTGCTCATTCCCAGGGAGAAGGATGGGAGGGGGCACTTCCCTACATTCACTCATCTCTCTAGTCTGAGGGAGGCCTTGAATTGGGGCCTGCCCCCATATGGTAAACTCCTACTCATTCTTCAGAGCCCTAGCTCCTATAGGCCCTCCTCCAGGAAGCCGTTCCAGCTTCCTATCTTGGATCCTCAGCTGCGGGTCCCTCCCTCTTACCCAGCCCTGTTGGCATAGTATCTGGATCCAAATCTGTCTTCTCTGGACTCGGGGATTTTGGAGAGCTAGCCTGGGCTGCGTCCTTTCAAGGCACGGACAGGCTTCAAGAATTCTGTTCACAAAGGTATGAGCTTGGGCGCCTGGGTGGCTCAGTCGGTTAAGCGTCTGCCTTCGGCTCAGGTCATGATCCCAGAGTCCTGGGATCGAGCCTCACGTCGAGCTCCCTGCTCAGTGGGAAGCCTGCTTCTCTCTCTCCCTCTGCTACAGCTCCCCCTACTTGTGCTCGCTCTCTCTCTCTCTGTTTCAAATAAAATCTTTAAAAACAAACAAAAAAAGGGGGTATGAGCTTGCTGCAGCTCCTTGGTCTTCATACTTTTGCCCGTGTGGTGCCTCCCTCCACGTACACCCTTCTCCTTCTCCACCTCACTCCTGGACACCTCCCTGGCCTTCCTACAGGGGACCTCCCTGAAGGGTGCCACCCAGCCTCGTGGGAACACGAGGGAGGACTCGGAGGAGCTGGACGGGCGGCTCGTGGGGCTGTCGGCACTGCCCGCAGGCAGAGCGAGCCGGGCCGAGAAGCGGTGAGGGCAGCTGTGGGGGTCGCGCGTGCCCATGTGGGTGTGAGCGTGTGAGGAAGGGCTCGTGTCTGAACCGCGCAGCACCGGGGTTCTAGATGGCTGCCTTCGGATCCCGGCTCTGCCTCTTCCTTGCTGGATGACATGGGGCAAGCTCCTCCCCCTCTCTGAGCCTCAGTTTCCCCGTCCGCACAGTGAGCTGCCTGGGACACCCCTGCCCGCATTTGGAGGGCCAGCTCATTCATTCAGTGAAGTCCTGCGGGCCTGGCCGGTGGCAGCAGGGGCCGGACCTC